CCACTTAATTACGATTGTTTAAACATTAAACCAGAATACATCTTTTTTTTTTCTTTGAAAAAAGATTCTGAACTATTTAATACTCGTTGAACAAACAACACAAATTAGTAAAAGATGAGTACTTGAATGTGTTTATGCGTTATGAGGATGAAAAAAAGCGTTATTAATTGTTGGTTTGCGTATGAATCTTCTAATTAGCAAAAACTCGTCGGATCATTTCTATGCTGTTACCACAACGAAATTTTCCAATATTTCCTCAAAAAGTTCTCCTGAATTACCAACGATATATCTATAGCACTCAGGGGAGAAATCTATTCTCTACCTCAGAATTCTAGATAATTATATTGGTTTTATTTCTTTTTATTTCTAAACGGCATAAAAAGCTGTTAAATTTCAGGTTTATAATTAGGATTCAGAAGTGTTTTTGGAAAAAATGTGTAAGTTATAAAGCCATAATATTATAATATAACATTAAAACTATTCTACTTTTTTTTTTCACTTGCTTTAGGACTGTTTTCAATCAGTTTTAGATGGCGGTTCATATTCGACCTGAATATTGATGACAATCTGTACACTGGATTGCAGGCTGGGAAACTGCTAAAAGATGGTGATTATGCATCAGTTATTATCTTACTTTATTCTTCACCATTTATAAATTAAAAAATTTTTTCTAACTTTTGCACTTCTTCTTTCTTTACTAAATTGATTAGACTATAGAACAAACGCAGCATTCTAGAGAAGTAATTTAACGTTACATACAAAGTTGTTGTGTATATTACAAATTATAATAAGAAATCTTAGTCTTTCAGTAAAAAAAAAAGGCAGAAGGTAGTAGATAATAGATAGAAAATAAGTGTGTAATCGAAAAATAAATTTTTTTAATGGAGCTGAAGACAGAACTTTGCTTCTGTAAGTTTGTCACAGAATTTTGATTCATTTATAATTATTATGAATAGTGACAACAAACAATTTAGATTCTTAAAACGAAACTTTTTTTTTCTTGGAAGTTATTTAACTTTTGCTGTATTGGAGGCTAAAACAGTAGCACTGCAAAATTAATTAAGAAATGCTATGAGATATTCAACTGATCACTTGCGCAATGTATTAGTATTTCCATATATCACATTACTGTAGTAACCGCTCTGTCGCTAAACTATTTAACTAAACTTTGTAAACTTTTAAGCAAAAAGTTTGTTTTTTGGTCTTTTAAAAGTTACAGGTGTAAAAGAGCGTTTGTTTTTTTTTACTGCTATCTAAAAGTTTTAGGCAGCGAATATCTTCAAAACCGAATACAGCAATGTATTTGAGTGCATATTTGCGGGTAACTGCCTTACAGAACGGATAATTATCATTGCTGTTATTGTAGCTTTGTTCGTCATTTTTATCTTTTCTATAATTTATTTTTATAAAAGAAGGTTTGAATTCACTTTATTTTACTACAGCACTTATATATACATTTAAAAAATTGTTTGAGGAGGTTGATAACAGATCGAGAGTTCAACTAAATTTTGCACATCAAAAATATGAACAAGAATTTTGTTTCTTTTGAAAAATTTGGTAATGATTGATTTTAGACAATATGTGAATGCTTATAAATTTACGTGGCAAGTATCACGCGATCAGTTGAAGCTTATTGAAAATAAGCGAGTAAGAAGCTTTGTATTATTAATTATGTTCAAATATTGTTCAGTTATTGTTAGCGCATTTTCTTCACAAAAATACTGTTCAAGTCGTTTTTTTGCTATTTTTTTATTTCACATTTCAATTTATAACCAAAAAGTAGACAATTTTTGAGAAAGATTTTTTTGTTTGAAAAGACGGTAAAAATACAGTTTTACACCAATGACTACCACTTAAGGTTTTCAGACAAAAGCGAAAAGTCGCACAGCAAATAATGAGAACTTGCATTCAAAGCGTCGGGTAATTGATAGCTATGCAATTTTGGGTATAACAAAGGCCGAGTATGTGTGTTTAAAACAGAATAAGAAAATCAAATGGTCAAAAGAGGAGATGAAGGCTTTATCAGATATGCGCTCAATGAATCATGAAAACTTGGCTGATTTTTTTGGTGTTTGCTGCAACGATGGTGACCGATTCTATGCACTGTACAATTTGATTGAACGAGCCTCCTTGGAAGACTTTGTTCGGGATCTAGACTTTGATTTTGACTCTACATTTCAGTCAGCTTTTTTAAATGACATACTAAGGGTTAGATTTATCGCTTGTCTGTGGTTACTGGCTGTCTTTTGTAAAAAAACATGAGTGTTTTACACATACTTTTATGAAATTTTTTGGTTTTCGTTGCATTTGTTTATCATGCATAGAACAAGTCTAATTTCGCACTACAAAGGTAGCAGTCTGCAAAAATATTTTTTTTTGAATAGTTTTGGATTTAAAGAGCAAAAGACAGAAGGCAGATTCTAGTTTAATGATTGGCATATTCCAGGGCCTCCAATACTTACATAAAAGTAGAGTCGGTTATCATGGTTTGTTAAATGTGCACACTTGTCTGATCGATGCAAATTGGGTGTTAAGGATGTCTAATTTTGGTTTATCAACAGGCTTGAACGGATTTATTGAAGATGGATCACTGCATGTTCTTGATAAATTACCAAAGTCTGGTAAAACCATTCAATATTTAAACCGATATCATACTGTCTGCATAATTTTGTTTTAGAAATTCTAATAACCAAAAAACAAATTTGAAAATTTTTCAAAGTTTCGGTTCTTCGATTAGTGACAGTAAAAAGAAAAAGTTTTTATTTGAGATTGTACGCTTTGTTAGCAGTACTTGTTTGGTTCTTTTAAATTTTTTGAAACTAAAGCGTACCAAAAGTTATTAAATTAGACATATCCACCAATACATAAAAGCAGGTGAGATAAAGTTTAAAGATAAATTTTAATCAGCAGATTTTAAGCTGAAATATTTTCTGACTAATTTGACAGTAAAAAATTTTGTATTTATAGTTTATGTGCATGTTGCACCAGAACATTTGAAAGATTTATCAGTTCCAAACGTTTATCCACAAGGCTCTCCAGAAGGAGACGTTTACAGTTTTGGCGTGATTCTCTATGCTATGCTCAATCGTTGTCTTCCTTATGAAAAAGCTGGTTTGTCTTTAACCGGTAAGTTAAGCTTTTATTAAATTTTAAGCAGTAATGAGAAAGTCGCTAATTTTTCTCCTTTAAGAAGTAGTTGATGGAGTCGTACATCGAAATCTACGACCAGAGTGCAATGATTTGCAAAACGCTCAGGTATACTGTTAGTTTTTCATTAACGTGTTTTAACAATAGTTGTTTCTTGTAGGTTTTTTCTTTCTTTACAGATAAATATTTGAAACATAAAAGTACATATTTTTTTACCAAAATTCTTCGAGTTGCGCTTAAGAGACAAAGTCGGCGATAACGACTTGTAGCTTATGCGTTAACAGGGTACTTTCACTTTAATAAAAAAACAATTTGTAAATCAAAAAATAATAAGAACAGTTAAAGTGTATAAAAGGTTGTTAAAGTAAAACAAGCGGAGAAGAATTGCCTCAGAATAGTTATAAATGCATGAAAATATGAGATGCTAAGTACAGCAATATTTTTTCCAGTTGTTAGAAATTATGAATCAGTGTTTTAATCGAACCCACGAAACACGACCAAATCTTCGTGATGTTCAGAGGACAATCAATGCTGCTTATCCAGCCTCGTGAGTACTGTGACGGTTTACCTGTAATCTGGTGAAGTTAGAGGATTTCAGAAAGATATAACACAAAAACTTTTTGGCGCCAACAATCAACTCATTGTACAGAAGTTGCTTCGCAGGTATGGGAATCTGGTGGACCAAATGCTTCGAATGAATGAAAAGTATGCCGAGAACTTGGAAAAAATTGTCGCTGAAAGAACGTCACTGTTAGCTGAAGCACAAGAACAGACCGATAGATTATTGTGTGAGATGCTTCCTCCGTGAGTCCTTATGTCTTTAAGACAACCCTTGCCTTTTAAATTAACTTTTTTTATGAAGATGTTTAAGGACGTTGAGTAACTTGTTTTTTAGGACAATCGCTGCACGATTGAAGGCTGGAGAAGCAGTTATACCACGTAACTATAAAAGTGTTACTGTAGCGTTTCTACAGATTTGCAATTTTGAAATTCTGATGAAAAAGTGTTCGCCAGATCAGGTCAGCCAGTATTTTCTAAGCAGCTTCTAAGCGTTTCTTTTACGTCTAGTTTACTTTCATTGGTAACTGTTTGTTTTGTACAGAAAGATTTAAAAAGAAAACAGTACCTGTGAGAGGATGAAAAGTAGAATTGAAATAGGGCTTTTTTTTTAAAAAAGGTTTATTTCACCTACTATACTTAACAAAAACAAATTATTAACCGGGTGGAGAAAAGTTGTGCCAGAATCTAGTAAACTTTTTAGGTTATCTCGTTTTTGAATGAAAGCTTTTCAACTTTTGACTGGTTACTGGAGCATAACGATGCATATAAGGTTGAAACAACTGGTGAAAATTATATGGTAGCTTCTGGCGTGCCAAACGAAAATGAAAATAGACATGTATTTGTAATCGCCGATATTGCAGTAAAAGGACAAGAGGCCAGTTTTTGCAATGACTTCTTCTCTATGATCCTTTAATTAAAGACAAAAAATTATTAAAAAATTTCGATTGGCTTACCTACTTAACAGTTTTTTTTTTCTTTTCTTGAGAAAAGTCAATTACAAAAGTCAATTATAAGGATCGTTATTCCACTTCTAGACGCCTTTGAAACAGTAAAAACTGCATTCATTTGTGTCCTTGGAATCGTGATTGAAAACTCATCAAGGGGGGGGGGGGGCTATCAGAATTGTCAGTAATAGCTTTTTATTTTGAGACTCAGCTATTAAAAAATTGGGATAAATGTTTCAAATTACATGGTCGATTGTGGACTGCCAAATGAAAATGAATGTAGACACAGTGTTTTATAATCCAACATGATAAAACACAAAATTTGCTAATAGACACAGAAGAACATTAAGTAATTTGCCAGAAAAAAAAAGCTGCTGCAGTATAAGGTGCTTTTACAGGTACAGGACAAAACCATTCACTAAATGATTTTCATTTTTCGCCTCAGTTTCTAAAAGAGCAAATCTTGCAAAATAGTAAGCTGTATAAATTAAGACATAGATGAGGTACCTGCAACTAAAGTACTGTTGCCACAGCTATCTCTTTATTCAAATTGTTGGTACAACAGTAACGACGCACTAACATTTCCGATAATGATCAAACCTAAAACAAGCATCTCTGGAAAACTATACAGTATCTGCTGCCCCCCCCACCAACACTGCTAAAGTCATCAGTAGGCGATTTCATGTAGTGGCTTTTCGCATGATTCGTACCAATCCTTTTACACCGGGCGCTGTTTTTGTATGCTTGTTTCTTGAAAAAGAATAGACTAGACAACGCGTAGGAACAATTTCAATATATAAGACTGGTTCCTTGAACATTCAGTAAAAACTATTGAAATGCTCGATAATCTTGTTTATTGCACTCAAACTGTCTTCAGAATTTGAAATTTTTAGCATAGGACTAGGCAGAACATTCCAAAATATTTGTTCTTTTTCGTATTAACATGAAATAATTTTCTGTTGTGCCTTTCCTCTTAATATTTTTGGAGTTAAGAACATAACTGGTATTTTAAATTATACACATCTTTATTCAGGTTGGCCAAACAATTAAATTAGTGGCTGTACCAGAATGGAAGTTTGTCATAAGAATTGGATTTCATACGGGACCTATTGCTGCTGGAGTTATTGGTTTACGTTCTCCTCGATACTGCCTTTTTGGCGACACTGTGAGTGATAGAGGCTAAAAAATGAAAAAAAAATGTTTGAATACATTCAATTTTCAATTTTTTTCAAGATTTTATTATGTTGCTTAACTGAAACAGCCATTTGTGCGTAATACTTCTGGAACTCTCTGCTACTGTTAGTGTGCAGTTTCTCCATCTGCGCTAATTCAGGTCAATTTTGCATCACGTATGCAAAGCACATGTAATCCAAATCAAATCCAAATTGCTGAGTCGACGGCTAATTTGTTGAAAGGTTCACCAAAGTATCGATTAACAAAACGGGGCATTGTTAGCGTCAAAGGGAAAGGTTATTGTAAAATCTGATTGTTACGGTGTAAAAAACTTGTATTTTTATGAATACCTTTTTAAAATTAGTCTAGACTGAATTATGTTCTTTTTTATCAAGAAAGGTAGATTTATGCAATTGTAGAAGAAAAAGTCATTTTTAGTTATACCTCAATTTTCAACGTAACATTACAATTTAAAATTGGTTTACAGCTTGGTTTACAGGTGAAGTGAACACATTTTGGTTGCATGGCAATACACCAGAATCAGGTGAACCAGAAAAAGCTGCTGCTTAGCAGTTATTTCTCAGATTATTCTGTTAAATTTTGTCGTGATCAAGGTTAATTTGTCGTTTTTTTTTTTTTTATTTAGACTGTTTATCAAACTGATTTTCGTCACAATAACAAATATGTAAAGTACATTATCAATATATTAAAACAAATAAATAATACTATAATAAAAAAATTACTTTTTTTTTCGAACTGGTTTTTTCTTTCAACAAAAAAATAGACACACAACAACAATACTTTTTGTTAGCTGCGTGGTGCAATACCCGAAATACTTTATAAATCTATTTGGAATCTTCAACAGATAAATATTGTTTATAGCATTAAATTTTTGGGAAATAACACAAAATCGTTTCACTTGATTATTACCACTTTTCAATTTAATACTTATTTGAAAAAATTCCATTTTTTTTTTTTTTTTTT